TTCAAATCTGGTCTCAGACCAGATGCTTGGAACTTACTAGCTGTGTGACCCTGGGCAAGTCACTTAACCCCAATTGCCTCACCCAAAAACAAAACAAAATAAAACAAAACAAAACAGATTACCTAAGTTTGTACATTTAATTTTTCCCAAAAGACTAGCTCCCAGATTTATTAATCAACTCAAAGTGTTTTTGCCTTCAATGTTGTTTATCTTGTCTTTGATTTTTAAAATTTGTAGTTTTCTGTTTGTTTTGAAAAAATTTGTCATTTTTATCTTTTTTTTTCCAGGATTTACTTCTATATGTGTACGTTTGGTTCTCCTGGTCTTATTTTGTCTTTGGATCTCCAGTGCCTGGCACGGTACTGTGTACGTTTGGTTCTCCTGATAGAATGTAAACTCCTTGTCTTATTTTGTCGTTGGATCTCCAGTGCCTGGCACGGTACCTGATGCACAGTAGGCTCTTAATGCAATATTGTCAATTGATTTGTTTATTGGTATGAGTGGACAAAGCTAAGTCGTTCCCTGTTCTGTTCTCATTATCAACTCAGTTTACACCTGAAATACAAACACAGGACAAACCTAATGGGCTCTGGACCTTTCAGAAGGACATTTCAGGGAGAAAAAATTGTTCACACCCGGGGTCAGAGAAGGATGGAACCACAGTACGAGAGGCTGATAGGCTCTCTGTCCCTGTCCCAATCTTTTGAGTCACCAATCAGTACAGAATAAGAGTTCAGCTCTTCCCTGACAAGAGGACAAAGGCTATGAACAGGAAATGTTTAAAAGAAGAAATGCAGAGTATCAACGGCCGTATGAAAAGATTGCTTCAAAACATTGATAATAAGACAAATGAAATCAATGCCACAAACATCACTAAGTGCCAGGCACTGAAAGTGAAAAGAACTCTGGGGTTTTACCTCATGCCTATCAGATTGGCAGCTGAGGTAGAGTGAGCTGCTAAACCCCATTGATTCTAAATCCAGGGTTTTCTGCGCTTGATAAAAGCCATTGTGTGATCACCAAATTTAGATCTGGGAGGCCCTTTGAGAGTGGCTGGTCCAATCCCCTCATTTTATAAATGAGGAAGCCAAGGTTCAGGGAAGTTGTTACTTTTTAGGGTTATTCAGGTAGTAAGAAACAGAGTCAAGATTCTAGCCCAGGTCCCCTATCCTGGTTTTGTTCCCACAGATGTGCCATGGGGATGAGGCATCCTAGCTGGAATTCATGGTGTTTCCACTAGGTTGTGAGCACTTTGAGGGACTGTCTTTTACCTTTCCTTGCACTGCCATGCTTAGGAGAGGGTGGTGCCTAGTAGGTGTTTAATAAATGCTTATTGACTGCCTGGTAGGGATCTTTTAGGGAATAGTTCTTGTCTGTAGCACAGAGCATACCTCTGCTGCCATAACTCATCAGCCCTTCTTTTAATGATGATTGACCCTGAACCCAATATTTGTCATTCCTATTGACCATCATATAATTATATCTAATATCTAATCTATAGTATATAATACATAATTGTATCTAATTATCAGAGGGAGGAAAGGTAGGTGCCTTGGCTACCAGTGACCAACTCTTCCTATGCGGACTCCATCACTATTTCAAAAACTTTCTATTCTTGGTGGCTAATCCTGGCTGCTTCCTCTGGCTCTGATGACCACTGACCTCCTTACTGAGGTTGGGGATGAGGTCTTCATTTCTTAGCAATCAAAGCATTGGTTTTCCCCTTCAGGTGGTGCTGCAGTGGCTTCTTCTCATCCTTTGTGTCTGCCTCATCTGCCATCTTTGTAAAACCAAGTGACTTGGAGATCTTCCTTTTCAAACAGATTGCATCAAACTGACTGCAGAACTAGTAGTAGTCAGCTACCCTTTGTGGATAAATGAATGTCCTCATTCACAGGATTTTCTCATGCTTATCGTATTGGTTTTGAATTAGTAAGAGGGGTCGCTTTCCCTACCATTAATATTCTTCTCTAATGCTTCATCATGGCTGGGATGAAGGGCCACCCTGGGGGTTTTTGAAGGTAATGGCAGCAGTCCTAATGCCAAGCTGGGAGGACTTTGAGTCCAGGCATGGCTCCAGATTAATTCTGTCATCTCGTGGCCGATCTAACTAATGTTAGAGGACGCAGCACCAGAAATTTGGTCCCCAAGCGATGAATTTTCTTTTCACCACAGCAACTCATGAGAACTGTTCACTGAGGCACAGCCAGGATTATATACTACACCGGTGGGAAGATGACCCCCAAAAATGAGATAAAAAAAAATCTCAGAACTGGGCCACACATGGGTTTTAGAGTCCCTTGGTTTAAAGCAGAGTTTTAGGAAGTGGAGTCTCTTTTGAAACCATAAATCACAAATGTTTCTAAGCCTGATTGCTAGTGAGGAATGAACACCAGGATAATTCATTAAAATAAGAAATTAAAACAGGTACTTTCACATACTTCATCATCCACAATTACATAGCTAAATATTTTAAGTGGGTTCTATGTACAGATATCTTAAAGTAATTTAGAGTTGATTTAAAGCAAATTATAAATTCAAATTGAAATCAAAAGCCTTAAAAAAGTTTCATGTTAACATCTCTCATGAAGGGTTTTTCACGTTCCTTCCGCCTAGCTCTCAGAGTTATTGTGAAGCTAAAATGAAATAATATTTGTAAAGCATTATATGCTTGGTACTCAGTAGCACTCAATAAATGCTTGTTTCCTTTCCTTCTAGGAAGTGATTTTTGACAGTTCTGAATTCTTGATCTGTCAAAGGTCTTGGGTTCTGCATTTTTCAGCAAACCACTTAATCATTTTGCTTCTGTGATTTCCCTTCCCAAGCTCCACCTTAGTAATTGACCTTAGTACTCGAAGAATTTTGGATGATAGAGCTCACAGGGACCCGCGAGGCCATCTAGTTCAACTCCCTCATTTTACAGATAAGGAAACTGAGGCCAGCAAGGTTAAGTGACTTGTCCTCAGAGTCATACATCTATTATGTGTCAGAGTCATGACTTAAACCCCGGTCTTCCTGACTTTGAGGCCAGCTCTCTACCATTGCTTTTTTTTTTTTTTGGCTAGGCAATGGGATTAAGTGACTTGCCTAGGGTCACACAGCTAGTAAGTGTTTTTATGTGTCTGAGGCCAGATACGAACTCAGGTCCTCCTGAATCCAGGGCCAGCGCTCTATTCACCACGCCACCTAGCTGCCCTTCTACCATTGCCTTTTAAAATGCTGAGCAGGGTTTTGCTTTTCTCCCAAACCTTATGAGTGTTTTAAGACTTTAATTTTTTTTTTTTTTTTGGTGAGGCAATTGGGATTAAGCAATTTGCTCAAAGTCACACAACTAGTGAGTGTTATGTGCCTGAGGCCGGATTTGAACTCAGGTCCTGAATCCAGGGCCAGTGCTCTATCCACTGTGCCACCCAGCTGCCCCTTGGACATTTTTTTTATGCTTCTCAATTATTTTAATTTTTAAAATTAGTGGTTTTTAGCAACTGATCAATAAGCAGGTGCTCCTCGGTTTTGAAGACAAAATGCACTGAGCACAGGGGAACCTCATTGTGATGCCCTGGGGTTGAAGAATGAGATTAACTAACAGGCGCCTAGGGTTAGGTCAGGCTTTGTGCGTGCCTAGCAGACATGTTTCTGGGGACACCTGGGGATAGGTGGCAGGGCCCAGTCTTTGTAACAGTTAGTGCAGTGACATCCTGTGACCCAGCAGCGCTCTGAGACCTTGACAGAACAGAAGCATTTCTGGATGGTTTGATCCTGCACTCTCTGTCCACAACCTGAACGGCTCCAGCTAAAGGGCTGTCCGGATGATGTGCACAGACCAGCTTGTGCTTCATGCAAGGGAAGAATGAAGAAGTTACTGAATCTCGGGAGTTCTTTTTATTTGAATGTGAAACCCTAGATATCTTCCACGAATAAAGCCACTGCCTCGCATTTTAGTCACCCCCCCCCACACACACACGAATGTCACACTGGGTGGTGCTATCAAAGATTTTATTTACACAACATTTGCTACAACAGCCGGTGTCATATTTCCACTTATGTGTTTCTTACCCATAGGGTAATAGGTCCACCATAATTGTTCGGTGTATCTTATAAAACAAGAAGGAAAATCTATGTTAATAACCACTAACAAAGTTCACAGATTACTACCAACTGGACAAAAAAAAAGTCTATGGAAAGTTCTCCCAGGAGTACAATACGCTTTGTTTCCACACATACACGGTACAGTAGGGGCTCAAAGGCACATCTTCGAAAGATTTTTTTTTCCTATCAAAGTGTCGGAAAGTGTTATAGTCTCATGAAGGAACAAGAAGAGCCTTTGTCAGCCCTGGTGCTTGGCCAGGCCGAGTTGGCTTCAATTCATTTGCAACATGAACCTGGCATAGCTGGAGTGTGGCGTTCAATGCCAAACATCCATGATCTCAAAAAAAAATCCAAGATCCCTCTTCTTCCCTTCTTTCCCTGACTGACAATAGCAGTTGTGCAAACTTGGGACCAACACATGTAGAAGAAGCTCCTTCAACTTAAGGCAGGACAGAGCAGGCCTCTCTCTCTCTCTCTCTCTCTCTCTCTCTCTCTCTCTCTCTCTCTCTCTCCCCCCTCCCCCCCCCCCCCCTCTCTCTCTCTCTCTCCCCCTCTCTCTCTCTCTCTCTCTCTCTCTCTCTCTCCCTCCCTCTCCCTCCCTCCCTCTCCCTCTTTTTTTCTATCTCTCTCTCCCTCCCTTTCTCTCTCTCTCTCTCTCTCTCTCTCTCTCTCTCCTCTCTCTCCTCTCTCTCTCTTCTCTCTCTCTCTCTCCCCTCCTCTCCCTCTTTTTTCTATCTCTCTCCCTCCCTCTCCTCTCTTTCTCTCTCTCTCTCTCTCTCTCTCTTCTCTCTCTCTCTCTCTCTCTCTCTCTCTCTCTCTCTCTCTCTCTCTCTCTCTCTCTCTCTCTCTCTCTCTCCCCCTCCCTCTCTCTTTCTGCCATGTGCAAACCCTCCCCTCCCCATCCCACTCCCCCACAAATAAGACAATGTTTACAATGAAAGATAATGTAGGTACTATCACAAGTGATAGTGTTTAGGAGAATATGAGCCTTCCAAATCATGCAGTTCCATCCAGGCGCAGCAGAAGAAAGGACACCACAGAACTGTGCAGAACACCTCTCTCAAGCGCTCACTGGACAACACGTAAAACGAAGGATGAATATGGAGGCTTCTCTTCTCAGTAAACTGAGTACCCACCAAATAAAAGAAGGCTCCGTTCTGTCTCTACCTCCATCCCCCAAGACTAAAGAGTGTTTATCCACACGGAAGGGAGTGGCTTCTTGGGCTAGGCGCCACGCAAGACACAGTCTTGGGACGGAGGGAGAAGATGAGGGTTAGCCTCCTGAAGACAGGGCTCTACAGAAACAGTCCGAGCTGGCTGATCTACATGAACCCTGCCATGCTGGCATTTAGTGAGTCCTGTTTCTGAACTAAGGTTTACTCATCGACAATTCTAACCCAGCTTTGCATTTATTAGGAAAGCAGACATCTAGGTATAGTCCCATGAGTTCTAAAAGGTGAAGAGATCAAGTCTTCTGGTGTCGGTTGGTTGGATTTTTAATTATTATTATTATTATTTATTATTATTATTATTAAATATGGGTTCATACTATACCAGTCATTTTCATTTTGCCCAGCCTGTCGAAGCTTCTCCATTGATATAGGCAAAACCGGGAAAGTGTTGCATGTGCTCATACTCAGAATTCCTGCGGGTGGTCAAGGGGGTGTACATGTCACTAGAGCTTCCGTATCTTGTCGGGTGCACAGGTGGGCTTGGGTAGCACGTGTTGGCTGAGGGAACTTCTGGCCATCGGGGAGTGACCGGCGTAGGGTGTAGTCTAGGGGCACTACTCATCAAACAAGGCTCCATCCGGGAGGTGGGGCTGTTGAAAGGGTACTTGGTAGGGTAGAAGAAAGAAATTCAAGGTTAAAACCATAAGCTGTGCATTACTAACCAGGTTAGTCATATTCACGGTCTGCTTCAAATTTGATTATTTTAGGACACTGCAGCGAAGAACTCAATGCTTTTTAAAAGACACTGGAGAAAACCATTAACCATAGGCAGAGGAGCATATTCATAGCCTGAGAAATCCTGGTGATTTGGTCCTCCTAATGAACAAAGCCCTGTTCCCTTCTCCTAGCCTAGTATATTTGGAGACCTGCCTTCAAGGATAGAGAAAATCTTTTGGATCTAAAGGAAGGGACATAGATAAGGTGAGTTTCATAAGTTATGGAACTGATCACATTTCATCCACTCCCAAGAACAAGATTTCAAAACAAAATACAGTGACCCTCTTTAAAACCACGTTTTCCAGTTGAATTTGGCTATTGTATGAACTGGTGCTGAAAGGGAAGATTTAAGAGGACAAGAATCAACAGCCCAGAAGTTACTGCTGATGGATTTTGCTAGAGATGGCTCCTATTTTGGTTTAAGGCAATGGCAGTTCTTGGAGGTCATCTGAGTAACGAATGACAAGTGTTAGGGATTGTGTTAGGATGAGGGAAGAAGGGTATTCCAGAGGAAAAGGGAAGATTATGGGGCTGAGATAAGACAATCATGGGGGCTTTGGGAAGGCTGGAGGCAGAGGGAAAATGACTCCAAGGAGAGAAGGTTCCTAGGAGAGATTTGTTTTAACGACGAGACACTGCTGGGCTATGCTCCCATTCGTTTTCCTCTGCTGCCACAACAGCTATGCAAACCAGCCCTTTTTTAGCACTAGCAGAGGAGAGGAGAGGGAGGAGGTGCTGGCTCCCCCTGAAGACTCATGCCAGTTAGTACAACGATAAGCCTTGCTGTGCTAAGGGCCACCCCAAGATGGAGGGGAGCCAATCATCCGGGGTAGGGAGAAGGCAGGGAGTGAAGGAAAGTGCTTGTGTGTGGATTCTTCTGCTCCCCATCTGTCTCTTCTGACAGTTGGAAAGTAGGGACCGGAGAGATTAGATAGGGGTCTGCCTCCTGTAGGGGAGACAGACAGGCTGAAGCCTGGACAGCAGGGAGGAAAGGGAGAATGACAACAATGACTGCTCCTTCCAGTCAAGGCAGCCAAAGAGAATCAAGTCTTTCCCCTGTGAGAGGAGCCCAAGGTTGGATAAAACCTGGAAAGCAGGGGGGAGAGTGTTGGGGCCAAAGATGGTGGATGGAAAACTAGCCACTTGAGGCTTAACCTTGAAAGGAGGAACTGCACCTCGGGAATGGATTTCCAAATGGGGCTAAGCCCACCTGACCCAGCAACCATGCTGTCAAGTGAACAGCTGGGTAGGAGGGAGGGCGTAGGTGGTGACTAGGAGCACCAGGGAGAAAGAATCAGGGCTGTTGCCAAGGAGACCAGAGAAGAGCAAACCCCATCTTTCGGGTCTCTGCAGAAGATCTTTAACCCTGAGAGATGGCTGATCGCTTTTTCCTTCTGCTCTGTGCTGTGACAGCATTATTAACGTGTTGTGGCTTTGAAGGAGCCAAGACAGACCACTAAGAAGGCAGGACAGGAAGCCTCCCAGCCTCAAATGGTAGAGCAGCCTTTGCAAGGAAGTGAGAAACTGGTGTGGGGTGATCACTCATATTATAGATGGACGTTTCACTTTGCAAAGAGGATCTTTCACAGACACTTCCTTGGTGCTCTTCCAAAAGCCTGTTTCTGCTTCCAAGTCTTTTCAGGAGCATACCCTGTACCTGACAGAGTGAGATGTCCCCCATTCTGCATTTTAAACAGAGAGGGGGAGCACAGGAGGTGTGTCTTCTTCATCAAGTCATTTCAGTAGCCCTCACTGCTGCCCTCCATACCCTCCAAGCTAGGACAGGGGGGTTCCCTTATCCAGGGGGTACATCTTGTATGTACCTGTGAATTCTGACTAGGACAATGGGTATTCATTCATCCTCATCCTTTGGTAACTCAGTGGACTTGGAATTTCATCTGTGTGGGCACTGCTACCATTGATGTACATTGCAAATACCTCTATAAACCTATAGATGGTCTCTGAGAGTTGCTGTGGCCAAAAACTTCATCCCCCTGAAGGCAATTCAAATTAGTTCAATTCAATAAGCATTTATTAAAGTGCCTACTGTGATACAGGCACTGAGCCACACACTGGGTGTACAAAGACAAAAAATAAAAAACTGTCTGTCCCTGCCCTCAAGGAGCTTGCATTCTACCTATTTCTTTCTTTCATTTTTAGGTGAGGCAGTTGGGGTTGAGACTTGCCCAGGGTCACACGGCTAGTTAGTGTCAAGTGTCTGAGGCCAGATTTGAACTCAGGTCCTCCTGACTCCAGGGCCAGAGCTCTATCCACTGTGCCACCTAGCTGCCCCATTCTACCCATTTCTAATGAAACTCTTTGAACTTAGCTAGGCTGGCTCAGGTGGCTCAGATACACAACCTGTACTCAAAATATTCTGGTTTGGTGGGCATCACAGGTAGGATGACCTTCAAGCAGTGACTTAGTCACTGGTCACGGCAGTGCCATGAGAGGAGGGGGAAAAGAGCTGATTTTAGAGTTGTTATGGGGGCAGCTAGGTGGCACAGTGGATAGAGCACCAGCCCTGAAGTCAGGAGAACCTGAGTTCAAATCTGGCCTCAGACCAAACACTTGACACTTACTAGCTGTGTGACCCTGGGCAAGTCACTTAACCTCAATTGCCTAAAAAATAATAATAAAAAATAATAAATAAAACAAAAAAAAATAAAGCTGTTTAATGGACCTTAGAAATTATATAGTCCAACCTCCTAGAAAGTCCAGGTTGAGTTATGTCCAATAGAATGGAAGCTCTCGATCAATGACTGTGGGTCAATACCTCACCTGTGATAATGTAAGTAGTAAGGAACAGAGCCAGCATTCACACTGAGGTCATCAGCCGCCATATCTAGTGGAGCTGCCCACTGAACTGCTCTGCCTCTCACTGATGACATACCTCATTATAATGTTAAATGGTACTAGATACACAAGAAGCCTTGCCAGAGCTCCCCTGGCATTGCCTTGGAGGACTGAGGACCACTCGCTCACCTTGGAGGCTTGTTGATTTGACCTTTGCCTTTCCCCAGAATCCTTAGCATCTTCAGCACTCAGCTCAGCTCAGACCCTCACCCTGTCTCCCTCGCTGCTAAAGCCTTCTCCTCTAAAACTACCACATATCTACTCTGTAGTTACATGCCCGGTGCTTTCCCCATTAGAGTGTAAGCTTCTTGAGGGCTTTTGCTTTGTATTTGTATTCCCAGCACTTAGCATAGTGCTGACTCCTCGTGAGTAAATGTCATCCATTGACTGAATGATTGATGAGACCGCATCTGAGCAGATTAACCCGTGCAGGCTGCTTGCCACCAGATGGAGCGTTTTCCTTTATGGGAACATGGCACGAAACTTTGTGGGTTTTGTCCTTGACCACGTATCACATATGCAGCTGTGCCCACGGGTTGGGTCATGAGCTCAAACAAGAAAATAACAACTGGGCTTTAAAAGAGGCTTTAAATATCTCCTATGTGACAATCAAATTCTGTTATGGCTGCTTCCCACATGGAAAGTTCTGTCCTGGTAGGTCAGCTAATTGCAAATGAGTCAGTGACTTCTTTTCCCCATAGTGAAGAGACCATTGAAAGACAATATTTGTGAAGTGCCCATTGGCCCCTGCCTGACGATGAACTCAACCAAGCTTCTATTCAGCCTTGTTAGAGTGTCCACAGCAAAGCCATCTGCACAGATGCCGACCCAGGCAGCCTGCATCACCTCTCGCACTCTGCATCCGGCTTTAATGATGGGTCCCGGAGCTTGTAGAACTTGAAACACTGCAGCCCAGAGATCGGGGCCAGGCATAAAGGCCATGCTTGTTGGAGGGTTCTTAACAGGAAACTGCCATTTTTCTGGGTCAAATCCCTCTTTTTGCTGGGACCGTGGTTAAATTGAGATGAGATGCATGGCTTCCTGTCCCTTGTGAGTGGTGTCTGCGTGTGTGTGTGTGTGATGGGAGATCAGTCAAATAGTTAGAATTTAGGTCCTTCCAAACTTTAGAATGAATTTTGCTTTTTTTGGGGGGGAAGATGGGGGACCATCTTAGAACATGCTATTTTAAGAGACTATTTCCAGTTCCAAAGGCTTATTTTTTTCCACATGGAGAAAGAAAGAATGAATTCTTTATTCCTGTTCTCTGCCAAACTGGCTGCTGCTTGTACAAGAAGGTGAAAGGTGGCCCTGTGAGCATTGCAAATTGTTTTCCTAATGAAAGCTGTGCTAACATCCTCTGACATGTCACTTGAGGACTCAGGGCTAATGGACCATCCAAGCTCGATGGCCAGCTGAGTTCTCTCAGGTCAAGGTCAAAACCCTTACCTGGAGGAAAGATGAAAAAAGAGCCCAGCAGGGTGAGCTTTCCACAATCAACAGCAAAACCAGCCCACGGCACTCTATGCTTCATCTTGAGACAGTCCCTGAAAAGCTGAACACTGGCCTTCCAATCCTCACGGCTGTCCTGTGAAGGCCCCCTCCTCTTTGTACCACCCATCATTCTATAAATGGAGAAACCATGGCCCAGAGTGGTTACAAGGGACTTTATCTTACAGTCACTGAGGAAGTCAATGTAGAGTCAAGGGAAGAATCTGGACCCATTTTTCAGCCCTAGCCCTGCTTCAGAAGCTTTGCTCTGTTGGTAATCTAGAACCCTCTCTAGCTACTGCTTACTAAATAACATTGTTCAGGTATGTTTTCCCAGACTACAAAAGGATTACCCATTTGGGGGTAACTCCCAGCTACCATAAAAAATCAACTTAGGCAAAACAGTACCGTGTGAGACTTAGAAAGCCATCCATCTCTCCCCAGGTCAGTCAATTAAGCACACATTCAGGAGATCAGCTTCTGGGATTTCATAAAGGAGAGAGGCCAAAGGTTTTGACTTTTACCTGAGAGAACTCAGCTGAT